GAAAAGACCGATTTTGTTTATGCTTTATAAAAATCAGAGTACCTCTTTTACTAAAAATGTTGCGGAATTTGTTCCCAGTAAAACATGATAAATACGTTATCAAAGCATTTCCAAAGAAAAGTATTTTTATTCATTTTAAAACATTTGGGATGTCATTGTCAATATAAAACATAAGCATAAACAAAACTTACATTTATTATCACTAGGTGATTTATATCTCCTTCATTTCTTAGTGTAATGTGACTTCATAACAACACTTGTGATATAAATAAACTGAGTGGGTCAGGTTGGGAAACCTGGTGAGTACATAGGGTTTTCAACCCACAACAATATAATTCTTATGTTTAAATAATTAAGCGATCAACCCAATTACCCATCCCCATTATCTTCCTTATTCTTAAGGATCTACCCTAAGAATCAACTATTCCTCATCCATTTATTCCTAAGGTTCATCCTAAGGAATCGTAACAAAGTCCATCGTTGCCACGGTTTACACAACAGGCACTAAGTCTGCATAGTCGTCAGGGGTTAGGCATCAAGTTTTCATGATCGCCAAGGTTTACACAACATGCACTAAGTCTACATAGTCGACAGGGTTTAGGCATCAAGTCTGCATGATCGCCGAGGTTTAGGCACCAAGTATTCATGGTCGCCAAGGTTTAGAGTACACCGGGTAAACACATCGTTCACAACACCTACAGGTTGCGAGTCTGCTAGTGTTCCACTGGACTGTCTAGAATAGTCCGTGGTTGTCATCCATACTCTGCTGAATGACGGGGCCATCGTTTGGGAAAAGACTTCTCACATCGTCCACCTCTCACCCTCACCTCGTGGTCTATAACACCTCTCAACTCATCATCAAACTCATATTTCATCTATTACATCTACCCATGTTTTACTCCAACATTATCGTAGATATAAAATATATATACAGTTTAAATCATTTAAAACATGTATAAAATCGTTCATCCAGCATAGACAGCAAGTATACAAATAATATACACACGTAGCACGTTGTTTATATAAAATACTTCATATTTATGTGTAAGTTGAAAGTAACTATGCACTCACCTGAGAAGGTGGTGACTCGGTACCTCGAAAAACGCTTCGTTTACTTTAAAATAATTTCTTTCGACGAAACCTAGTATTATTACCACTAGATTTTAGTCTAATATTTACCGTGACTAATTATTAGTCTTATTATTATTATTAGTATTATATAAGTGTTTAAACAATACTTTCCAACGACTATGTACAAATAGGGGCCAGACATAAAACACCGGAGGGCAGGACCATTTTGGCGTATAGCACTTCTGAAATCCAACAACCCTATGTGGCCCTTTAAACCAGATTCCCCGTACCCTGAGTAGTTAAAAAGATATTATAACGACACTTATATAAGTCATAATAATAACTCAAATATTTATTAGAAGTTCATAATAACAATATTAATTTTAAATATAAGCTATATTAAAATAGGGTAGGCATAAATTACTTACAAGGGGGTTTTAGCTAGGAGTCGGGGCTCTGCAGGGGCAGAACTTCATCGCTGAATCTTTCTAAGAAAGATTCGTGCAGCGCTTCAGCACTCACCTTACTATACTAAAAACTACAAAAAGAGAAGTCGAATCACGAGGGACCGAAATGCTCGGGGGATAAGGAGAGAAAGACTCTTGAATCAAGAGAATGGTGCAAGAAATATGAGAGCCCAAGGCTCTTATTTATACTAATTGAATTTTCAAAAACTATCCTCCATAATTACTTAATAACCTTTTAGTTATATAAACAACTAAACACCCCTCTATAATACTATTTTAAATGGATTTAACGATATTTGTACTAAACTAATGTTGAAAGAACTCAACATTAGTCTTATAATGACCGCATCGTCGATACCTTTCTAATGATATATACATATGTATATATATATATATATATATATATGTGTGTACGTATATATGATTTATACTTTATTTTAATACGTAAATATGCTATTATAATCTGTAACGCGTTCATACGATCTCCGTTTTTGACGTTCTTTATATCCACGCGTAGGTGGAGACGTAGTCTACAACTTTCATTTAGACCCGCTCGGCTAATTTTGACTTTATTTTTAAAGTTATATTTTTAACAGGCCGGGACAAGATTGGTCCGTTAAAATCTCATAACTTCTTCATCCGATGTCCATTTTACGTCTGTTTTTTTTATCGTTATGCTAGTAATAACGAGATCTTCGATTCTCGTTTAGGTTGTGTCGGCTAAAAACCGCTCGATCTAATACTCGAACTTCAGGCTGTACACCACTAAGCTGAAACTTCGAAAAATCATAACTTCCTCATAAGAAGTCAGATTTGGGCGTTCTTTTTATGAACGCTCTCAGGTTAACATATTCTACGACTTTGATTTAGATTACTAAGGCTAAAAGAAGCTCTATCATAAATTCACTATTTATGTCTTCGCGGTACCGTGTCGGTTTCGTCGCTAAACTTCGACGAGTCATAACTTCTTCGTTATAACTCGGATTTCGGCGCTCTTTATATGTACGGAACCCTTGAGACACATTCTACAACTTGGTTAAGATTATTTATTCTATATAATCTTTTGTTGAAAATTCGTTTCCGACCCCTATTATCTCTAAATTGACTAGTCTGGATCTACGGGTGTTACACTTCCCAAGGGTAAATTATGCACCAAAAACCTTCTAAGAGCGCAAGAAAACCACCAAGAGGTTACAAGGTCAATTTAGGGTTTTTAGGGTATGGAGGATGGCTTAGAAATGAACAAAATGGAGTAACATTAAGCTTATATAGGGTACATCCCTAAAAATTAGGGTTTCAAACCAACCCTCGTACGCCCAGTGTATGAGGTCCCGCACCCCGATCCCAGCTTCGCACTACGCTACGCGTACTCCTCATTACGAATGACGTAACTCCTTTCGCATCAATATCCCCTGCATACTCGCATGGTACGCCTTACATACCAGGTTTTTCCCCCAAACCCTAATTCATTCTGAAGGCCATAACTTTCTCAATACAACTCCGATTCTGACCATCCTTATATCCATGAAGAGGTATCGAGAAGCTCAACACTATTATCAACTCATACTTGACTTAAAGTTCCCGAAAAAAAAATCCAAATTCCATAAAGGCCCGTTTCCAAATTACCCAAAATGCCCCCTTGGCACCAAAACCAATTCCGAATGCCCACACCATTTACATTTCATCACCCACGCCCAAATGGGTAACGATTCGAAATAGGGTGTTACATAGGTTTTCAACGCAATTATGAAAAATCTTGCCAACAATCCAAATATAATGTATTAGAGATGGTGATTCTTACCTTGATTCACCAAATTGAAGCTTAAATCAAGTTACCCCTTCAAAAAATCAACCCCTAGGGCTTAAGTATGTGTTTTTTGCAGTTGGGGGTGTGTTTAGGTGTTTAGGTTCGGAATCAAACGTTCACAAATCTTTTTTTTATTTTTTATTTTTTATGTTCTGATCATGCTCACATCATGAGCCTATCTTGCTCAGGTCGTGAGATGTGGCAATCAACAAAGTACATTGCTGATATCATTCCATCATTAGGCATTTTTATCCCATCTTCAAAAGTTAATATCTCCTTTGTTTCTTATCCGTTTTTGATGATCTTTATATCCACACGAAGGTGGAAATAAGATCTACATGTCTGTTAAGTCATATCTCACTGACTTAATTCTGATCTTAATCTATTAGGTTAAGAAGTTAGCCTAAAAAGCATAAAAATATCAATTTTACCCTGTTGGCCAAAAATGCATTTCTCATGCATTATTTCTCTAGAACTCAATCCATCTAACCTCTTATAGTGTTTTAAATTTGTCTTGGTCATTATCATGAAGTTACAACTTCATATTCTCATCCTTTTCTTATAAATGACCAATTTTCCCTTTTTTGTCAATATTGTCTAAAAGTTACATCTTTCTAAATTTGGGTTGTTATAAAGGAGAAGTGAGGCAGATGGGTGTGAGTTTGCTCTTCATCTAAGTTGAAGCATGTGTACCAGATTTCTTTAAAAGGGGATGAGAGCGGTGGTGACGAAGGAGACCGGGTATAAAGAGGGAGGAGACACAATGAAGAAGAAAGGGGGAAAGGAAAAGTGAAGGTTATAGTTAGACCAATTTATGGGTGGGGAATTTGGATTTCTGTTTTTTTAAATGATTAAAAAATATCATAAAATTAAAAAAGAAATGCATAAGGGCATAACAGTCTTTCTACATCAATCAGAGACCAACGACACAACAAAATCAAACTATAGGGATGATCCGAGTTTTAAAAAAAAAAGTTTGGGACCAAACGTACAAATTATCCTAAACAATAGGGATCATGCGTGTAATTTACTCTAAAATAAATTAAAAATCCAAAACTAGTAACTTGATTATCATTTGAGTTTAATTTTAAAAAAAAATGGTTTCATGTTAATATCGTAGAAGTTATCTTTTTGACAAAGTAATTTTATATATTATTATTATGTTTCTTAATATAATATAAGAAAACAAAATGTAAAATAAGAACACAAAATATAGTATGGAGATGAAAAAATAAAGAAACATATTGAAACTTTAATGAAAGTGAGAGGGGAAAAACTACAAATTCATATTAGACCTAGTTTTTGATTGCCACGTTTGTATTGTTCATTTCGAATCTCTTTCGTTACCCTTTCGAGAAAGCTTTACGAATATTTTCGTCCAAATAACACAACCTTTTCTTCTAACCACACACGTAATTTCCATAAAAAGAACTAAAGCCACGTGGCCAGGTACCCCTCCATGTACTACCATCACTCTCACACCCTCGGCCACTCACTGTAACCACCATAACCACCATAACCGCCACCTATTCCATTTCTCCTCCTCTCGTTTTCTTCGCTATTACAAATTAAACACCACCATTCCCCTCCACCATCCCCGGTGGAGACGCTCTGCACTGCATTTTCCATTTTTATTTCATTTCCCTTAAAACATTATGACCAACCATAACAACAACCACAACCCTAGCAACAATAAAATCATCCACCACCGCCTCCTCCCCTCACCCACCACAACCACCACCACCACCACCACCCGTTCTAACTCCACCATCCAAGCCTGCGCCGCCTGCCGTTACCAACGCCGGAAATGTGCCCCAGACTGTATTCTCGCTCCTTACTTCCCCCACGATCGGCAACGTCAGTTCCAAAACGCTCATAAACTATTCGGTGTAAGCAACATCACGAAGATTATTCGTCACCTGGATCAACCACAGAAAGACGAAGCCATGCGCACAATTATCTACCAATCCGACGTTCGTGCTCAAGACCCTGTGGGTGGATGCTACCGAATCATCCGGGAACTCCATCGTCAAATCGAAATCTCACGAACCGAGCTTGAAATCGTTCTTCAACAGCTCGCATATTTCCGGACACTTGCTGTGCAGAACCAGACACAAACCCAACCACAATTTAATCATGATCAGATCCTTCTCGATGAGGTCGATTGCGATATTCATCTCGTTAACAATCCAGACGTCGACGCACATTTGTGCGATGATTCTCATTCTTCCGTTGATCGTCTTCATCGTCGAAATAGTTTAGATCTTGACCTAGACAACATACCTTTACCACAACATGAACAAAAAGATCACGATCAATATGTTTCAGGGAAACAGGATACTACAGGTTGGGGAGATGATAATGTGGTGGTGCCGGTCCAATCATGGGCCGCCGTACATGATTCGCCGCCGCCGTCGTCTGGCAATTGCTTTGATGTCAAGCCTCAACCGTTTCAGACCTTACATGCTTCAGTATGTGATGATTTCAAATCGCTTCTACTCAATGATATACCACATGAAGAAAAATTCCAATTCAAAGAGACAAACGAACAAAGGTTTGAATGAATTCCTTTCAATGCTTAATTAATATTTTAATAAATTAAATTATCAAAACATTCTATCTTTTATTCACCATTTTAAGTTGCAACAACTCTCACATCTTTGTAACATGCCTTCCTCATTTCTAACCATTAATACAAGACAAACTATCATTTTTTTAAAACTATTTATATAGACACATTTATTATTTTGTCTTTCATTTTTATCAGATTTACACAAAAGGACATAAATTAATGGTTAATTGTTGCATAGATTGGTAAAAGTAATGAAGATATATTATACTTTTTGTATTTGTATTTCCCTCTTATTAAAAGTAGATATGGTGCTCTCTTCCTAGCTTGTAGAATTTGTTACATTTTTTTGTTTCGTTTTGTTTTAGTGATGAGAGTTTATTCAACGAAGAAAATCACAATGAAGATCATGAGGTTACACTCAAAGATTGTAAAGCTACTCATATTGAGGGAGAATAAATTTAGATAAAAGTATGACCATTTGAGAACAAATTCTTTAATTCTTGTATTTGTGCGATGCAACGGCGAGGATTACGAGGGGGTGAATAGTTTTTTCAACGATTAGTTTTTATTTGACAGTTGCTAATCGATTAAATAATTTCTTTTTGGAAACATGTTATTTTAAAATATGCAATGTATTGACAAATACCATTTACCATTAATGTACAAGTTATTATAACCGGTGACTATGAAGTGTTTCTTTTTGGCAGTTAATTCGCTTTGAGAAAAATCATAATTATTGTTACTATTGTTATGTAAAGGAAATGTTATAAATTTGTATGGGTAAAAATAGAGGTGTGTAACTATATTGGATAAAAAATGAAAGATAGTTGTTATTAAAAAAATATGAATTTCATATTAGTTGGACAATTTTGTCAGTCGGTTTTGTGTTTATTTGAATTTCGTTTAAGACAATATAATACTAATAGTCATGACATGCGGAGGGAGTGATTAGTTTCCATTTGGTTTTTTTCTTTGTACAATTAGTTTTTCTTTCAAAGATTGCAATAAGATTCGTTAACGATTCGTTCGTTCAAATAGCAAGTCATATAATATGTTAAAATACACACACACACACATATATATATATATATATATATATATATATATATATATATATATATATATATATATATATATATAAAGTTTAATGTCTTTTATTTATAGATTTCATTTGCATACTTTTATATAAACTAGTAAGTTTGGCCATGCTTCGGATGGGTCATAAGAGTTATTGTTAGAGATGCAAAATATTATAAGTTTCACAATCATTTTCACGAAACTTATTTTTAGCTTTATAGCCTATTTTTTGACGACGAAAGTGTAACACCCCGATTTCCTGGATGTAGAACTTGAGGATTTTATGCAAATTGAAGGACCTACTCAACGAGTTGGTTGGCCCCAACTCGTTGTGTAGAAGTTGATATACTCGTCGAGTTGAAGGGGATGGACTCGACGAGTTGAGTCTGTGTTGAGAAAACCCTAATTTTAGGGCTTGCACCCTATTTAAAGAACCTTATGCCTTCATTTCGCCCCCTGATCATCCTAATACTCTGAGAGAAACCATAATCGAGCTATATTTGTGGATGAGAGTGTAACGCCCATAGATCCGGGCTGGTCAAATTAGAGACGATAAGCATCAAAAATGACTTTTTGATGGAAGATTAATTAAAAGGATTAATCTTAACCAAGTTGTAGTATATGTCACAAGGTTTCCGTGCATATAAAGAATGCTAAAATCTGAGTTATAACGAAGAAGTTATGACATGTCGAAGTTTCGCGACAGAACCGACACGACCCAACGCGACCCAGGGCGACGTAAATAGTGAATTTAAGGTAGATAGATATCTATCCTTAGTGATCTAAATGAGAATTGAAGATCTCATCGATACTAGTGCAACGACGGAAAGACGGACAAAAACGGAGTTCAGATGAAGGAGTTATGAATTTCGAACGGAGTTTTCCTGTCCCGGCCTACTAAAGATAATATATAAGTAATATATTTATAATATATTAAAAATAAAGTCAAAATGAGCCAATGGAGTCTAAACGAGAGTTGTAGAGCATAATCTTACCTTCGCGTCGATATAAAGAACTCGAAAACGGAGTTCGTATGCGAAAGTTATGAATTTCTGAAGTTCGGGGCGCAAAACCCCAAAACTGTCAGAGACCACGACGTGGCAAGCAGTGCCATGACTTGGCAAACTTTCTGACACCTCCGGGAGTCCCCCAGATGCAACTTGAGATGATGCATGCAGTGACAACCAAGCCCACGACGTGGCAAAAGGTTCCACGACGTGGAAAGGGCCAGTTTTGCCCTATAAATAGGTTTGAAGGGCCAGCCAAGTTTGGTTGCTCATTCTCTCATCTCTCTCCCATATTACATCGTTTTACATGCAATTTTAACCCCCGAAGCCCCGGTATCACCCCGAGACCCGAAGCGAGTCCCGAATTCCGAAGATCCCGAGAAGAAAAGAGTTTCCGAGCCGAAGCTCTGCCCGCGAGAAACCCGGTGTGTGAAGTGATCCCGGTTTCTCCAAAGAATACTACTTCTACAAGTCGTAGTGTTGTCCGATCATCTTCTGATCAAGTGAGTGTATAGTCACTTTCATCTTACACATAGATATGAAGTATTTTATAAAATACGTGCTATGTGTATAATATAAAGTAGTTTATATGCGTGAGTGTATAGTCCCTTTCATAACACGATTTTAATATAAGTATTGTTTGAATGTATTAAGTATATGTTTTGGGTGAGTATGTGATCACTTTCTTCTAATATATATATATATATATATATATATATATATATATATATATGTATATATATATATATATGTATATATATATATATATATATTATGTATTTGATATGAAATATGGGCTATGTGTTTATATATTGTTGTTTATTTGAGATGAGTGTGGAATGGATGTTTTATATAGGTGTTAAATGAGTTAATATGTATATGTATTTTATATCTACACATATGTTGGGTATAACATGAGTAGATGAATTAGATGATGTGTGATGATAATTAGGCGATGAGAAATAGGTGACGATAATTAGGTGATGATAATTAGGTGATGAGAAATAGGTGATGATAGATAGGTGATGATAAATAGGTGATGTGAGATGCAAGGATATACCATAACCTTGACCGACAATGTGACAATTTGGCGATGTAGTCATCTACCAGAGTATAGATGGCGACCACAGACTATTCTAGATGACCCCGTGGAAACACCAGCAGGATGATAACCTGTAGGTGATGAATTACGAGTCTAGGCGACTTTGTGGCTACATATTCATGCGATGATACTCTAACCCTTACTATGAATTACGAGTCCAGGCGATGTTGTGGCTACGTATTCATGCGATGATAGTCTAACCCTTATTATGATTTACGAGTCCAGGCGATGTTGTGGCTGCGTAATCATGCGATGATACCCTAACCCTTACTAGACATATATGGAGGGAGTGATCCCCGAATTAGTATTGTCTATGCAAAGTAGGCGATGATCCTTAGGAAAAGTTCTTAGGAACAAGCATATAAGGATATAAGATGTAAGGAGATGAGCGGTAAATATGATATAGGAGATGACCCTTAGGATAATGTCTTTTAGGAAGATTAAAAGAAGATATTGGGGATGGGTAATTGGGTTGATTGTTTGACAATTGAATATAATAATTATATTATTGTGGGTTGAAAACCCTATATGCTCACCAGGCTCCCAAGCCTGACCCACTCAGTTTAATTGTATCACAGGTATCGATACGAAGCTGCTTTGCACTAAAAGATTAAAGGAGATGTAAATCACTAGAGTAAATGAATGTACGTTCTGTTTATGATTATGTGTCTGTATCAGAACATGACATCCCGAGGTTTTATTATTTAATGAAAATACATTCTCTTTGAAAAATGTTTTGATAAGTTTTTATTATATCTTGTTTTGGGAACAAATTCCGCAACCGTTTTCGTTAAACGATTACTCTGATTTATAAAACAAAGCATAAACAAATCGTTCTTTTCTGGCCGAGAAATTGGGGATGTCACAGTTGGTATAAGAGCCTTAGTTTAAGCGAACTAGGAATTTGTAGGAAATTTCTAGACTTAAACTTAGAATGCTAAGTAATGTTTGTGAGGAGTGTGTCTAAAATATGTTAGCCAGTACACCTAAATTGACACAAGTACTAGTTTATTTTAGGAATGTTGCCTAATATGCTTTTATGTGATAAATGTTATATGTTTCCATATATGATATTATTTGTTCGGATCTATGGTCTGTTGTCGACCGGATCTGGAAACCTTATGTGTGTAGGATTTTAAGCGCTTGGCTACGAAATTAGAACTAGCATGTAAACGTTTCGGAGTGATAAGGGTGATTTGAATATCTATCGTGAATAAGGATATAATTTCACCTTATTCAGTGTATAGATCAAAAATGGTGAGAACAAGAAGTGGAGTTGGAAATGCTGATGAAAACAGGAATCAACCACCAGTGATTGAGCAAATACTTGTCATAGCAGCAGCACCTGAGCCGATAACAATGGCTGGTGTACAATTAATGATCCAGAAGATGTTGGATCGTCAGATGGATGAAACGAGACGTCTGCTTCAACAGAATCGTGAAGAACTGTTAATTCAAGTGGAAGAGCCCGCAGTGAATGAAGGGCATTCGGAAGGTGGAAACTTCAGTGGATCTGTTGGTCAAGCCAACCCACCGATAGTTAGGCAAAACAACCAGAATGGAAGGAATGATGGAATAGGATGCAAGTATAAAGATTTTCTCACTTGCAAACCATCGACCTTCACTAGAAAGGAGGATCCGATTGGAGTTATGGATTGGATATCGGAAATGGAGCTAGCCTTCATGACGTGTGGTTGCAAGGGCAAATTACAAACTATATTTGCAGTGCGTCGGTTCAGAGGTGGCGTTGTTCACTGGTGTAACACTCTGGGGAAGACCCTAAGCCCCAACGAGCCACTACAACTGTCTTGGGTAGAGTTCTTGGTGCAATTCAAGCGCAAGTTCTGCTCGGCCCAAAACCTGCTAGAGTTAGAGAACAAATTTCTGATATTGAAGAAAGACAGCATGTCAGTGGATGAATACACTAATTCCTTTATAGACAAAATGGAATTTGCTTTGCGCATCGTCCCAGATGAGCTGACAAAGGTAGACCGATACGCAAAGGGACTTCTATGGGAGTACACAGTGCCAGTACGCCAGGCACCTACTCTGGAGGCAGTTATCTAGGATGCCAAGTCTGTTGAGGACATGATCAAGGGAAGAACTGATGGGTTTTGGTCATAAGACATCCTATGTGCTCATACAAACCCTAATGCTTGGATCTAGGTTTCTCTATTGTACATGCTTTGAATCCAAGACTATAAACCCTAATTCTAGCATTCAAGTAATCATATTAATATGTAATTAGGTTTAAGATCATACCTTGATTGTTATGTAGCAATAACAATCCTAAATCTCCTTGTTAATGACTTTGGAATGCTTAGAGTCACAAGTGTCACTCCTCTAATGGCTTACAAACACCAAGAGCAAATGGAGAAGGTATAAAGAGAGAGTAGAGAGGTTAGAATTCGTCCTTAGGACTCCTTGGGAAGGGATACACGAATTCATGAGCCAAGGGGTGTTTATATAGGTGTAGAGATAGGGTTTCAGTCA